ATATAACTCGAAATTTCTTCAACAATTACATTGCAACTCCACTAATATAATAGAACCAAATACTTTAAAACTCTTATTGAGAAAATTGATCTACAGTTTTTTGAAAGATTAAAATGATGTTAGCCACCGTGTACCCCTCTGGCCAACAGATTTCGTTGTCCCTCGCCCAATCAACTTCAAGTTTCATGCCAGCTCATGGAGCTTTAAGATAGTTCAGTTCCTGTTGTAAGCAAAATGCTATTAATTATTTTACTAATGAATATCCAAGATTAGAGGTCTGCAAACGCAAGAACTCTAGGACAAGATTAGAGGGCTACAACCAATTATAGAGATGAATACAAGAACTACACTAATGGTTTGCTCATTATTAATTGAGGACAAGCAGCATCATGTTCAAATATTAATGAGAAATTTAATCAGCTGAAATATTAAAAAACTTGACAGGGAGGAGCAGACCGCACCCCTGCTTTTTAGTTAAGAGGATGCAGGGCTCGAACCTGGGTCTCTGGACTGAGAGCGAGCCCCAGTAACCAGTCGCCCAACTAAAAGAACAATTTTTACATGAGAAAATATACTTTGAAAATGATGATATGGAAACCTAGAAACACCATTCCGTATTTCCCAAACTCACGTTGGTTGTGTCGGCAAGCATAGAGCAAAATCAGACTTCTGGTCGTACAATGCCGCCACTGCCTCTAGATCCAGCCACACCCCTCCTCCACCTCTGCTACCTAATTAGTAATATATTAGATATTAGATAGATGCGAAACCTCCAGAAATCCTTTATATGTCACAAGTATGTACTTTTAGTTTCAAAGTCAAGAAGAGCATCACACAAGATACTCCATCCTTCCTGAAATGCATGGTGGCCTAAAGGAAGAGGCAAGATTCTCCTTTGGAACATTGACAGTCAAAACAGATTCCATATGTCCTAACCGAATGGCAGAACATTGAGCCCTCTTTTAGTATGAGTTACTAATATTAACAATACTGCACATTCATTGAGAAAACAGGTCAAATATAAGTTATGGCTTTCAGCTTTTCTCAAGGTTCCTCCCCTTCTTGCTTAGCCGCTAAATCCTTTAGCCCACTATTCTTAGTTTTTGGGAAAGCCAGCCGCTAAGGGGCTTAGCCCGCTTGACCAGAAATTATTAAAATGCTCTGAAAAGAAGTATGAAGGTTAAACTCCTATACTACTCAGCTATACAATACAGTACAAAGACATATAGATAACATACAAACATTTGAATTATGACACTATTGAAACAACCAAAATCAGCCGTGAAAACCATCAGCCGAACAGGTCGATACTACTCTGCCAAGCATTTACATGTTCTAAAACAACAGTTTCATTAGTCATTTGAATAAATGAGAATGGTAAAATTTAAGAGGAAAGAGATAATATCTTGTTAACAAGATTCTCAAACGCTTTTGCTCCATTTTGCTCAATGTATCTCTGTGCAGCTGAAATTACATCATCAGGCCTACTTGATTCATCATTCTTTGGAAATTACCAGATGTTCACAAAATGCTCATATGCATGTGTAGCTCCACTGAACTGTAGCAATACTAACCAGCAATTGAAAAATAGTTTTGCGTAAGACAAGAAAGGGAGCCCCTGCAAAGTGCAAAAGTTATGCTTGTGATGAGCATTTCCATCATGATATGATGTATCCAAGAATCTTATCAGCCATATCATGAGATAGCAGTGATTGATGAAGTGAGTAGTAAACCAGAGATGGTCAATAGGAAAGAAATCAAGGTAAGATGAAATGTGCACATAAAACTAAAGCTAAAATGCGTAGAACACCTAGTACGTGAGCCGTTGCTGATCATACACTGCAGATTTGTTTCAATTGCTCGTCCAATGAGGTAAAACAAAAACAATAACTATCAAATTAAGATAGTTAGCGTCTATATGTTTATCTAAAAGGTTACTGGATTAACTTACAGAGGATACGCAAGTGAAACTACAGGCCTGCAAAGACAAACAAATAGAGGATTAAAAATTCGCAATAACCTGTTGGAAATCTGAACAGATAATATAAGTGCCGTTGGCAACAAAACTGACACCACAAATACAAGGTTGCCTTGATATTATCCCCCAGAACTACAGATGTTCCAAGTCCCATTACTTCATCTGACAACCAACAGCACTGCATTAGAGATCTGAATAAAGTTTCCTTGCAAAATGAGATCTGAACAAAGGGGTATAAACATAGCATAATCGGTTGTGACTGAATTTATTTTACATATATACTTAAGCTCTATGTATTCGCATCATAGCAGCTGATCTAATAATCCGACAAAGACCAGAAAGCAGACACAAGGGCGAGCGCGCATCTTGTTTGTAAGCGAACTGAGCAGCACAGTTCAACAGGCATAGGTACAACACAGGGTGCGTGAGGGATGGCCTCGGCCTGAATCCTGTACAGCGCCGCCCCTGTCTCGTGACTCATGAGCAAACCTGGAGTGACGGAGGCGTCGCCGGAGCTGATCTTTAGCCGTCCAGTCGGTGCGGCAGTGGGCAGCAGGCTTACTCGAACTCCTGTGGCCTGCGATCGGCGCGGCGGCGGCACGATGGACACGGCGTCGGCCTTCCCTCTCGGTCCTTCTGATCGCGAAGGCGGCGGCCCCAATCAGCGGCGAGGCGGAGCTCCCCGGCGGGTGCCCTCCCGTCCTTCCCTCTCGGCCCCCAGATCCTGCAGGAGGCGGCCCCAAGCAGCGGCGAGGCTGGAGCTCGTTCGACGGCTTTGGTTCAACCTGGAGCGGGTGCAAACAGACCGAGGTCCCGCCGACGGTGGCACGCGGGGAACCAAAGCCGTTAGGGGGCAGCCCGGCAGGGATTTGGTGGCGGCAGTGCTCGAGGGTGGTGCGGGCAGGCGATCCATCTGGGACCAGCCACGGGCGGCGAGGAGGCTGCCGTGGTGGCTGCTGACGCGGACGCAGCCGGAGGCGCCCAGTCGCCGTGGGTGGAGAAGCGGGCGGTGGTGGCTACTGACGCAAACACAGCCGGAGGCGTTGGCGGACGTGACCCAGTCGCCGTTGGGCAAGAAGCGGGCGGTGGTGGTGAATGGGAGGCGGCGGCGTGAGCGAGCGCGAATAGCGAGGTCAAGCTCCGTCGGCGGCATATGTCGCACCAAAGAAGAGACTCGGGTACCTGCGGGATCGCACGGGGAGGCAGGACGATGGTCGAATGTCGTATCAAAAACTCTTTCACGCTCTGCTGTTTTTAGTTGTAGGAGATATTGCATTACCGTGGTGGAGTGAGCTCTTGGAGTTCGGGACCCTGTGCCCGCGTCTGCCGCTCCGTCACTAGCTGCCTGACTTTGAGCTGCCCTGCTCTCCTGTCTTAAATCCCTAGGCTAATCCATAATGATAGTGAGTGATGATCCGGTATATCTACTGGGGACTCACGGTCTATAGGTAGGAAGGTTCGATATTGTTTGCCAGGTATGTATTAGGCAAAATGGGCCCCCCTATATTTTGATGTGAGCTCCGCCATTGTTGTGGCTGCCTATCCGCCCGCTTTCTCTGCCAACCCCATGGCACAGCCCTCCAGCCAGCGGCGCAGTATATGAACTCCTGTACCATAGGCGTATGCAACCATGCGGCCCTCCTGTTTGTTATGGCATCGTGCTTTGCCGGCTGCCTTGATGCGCCTCTGCCCCCTCCTCGCGTAGACTTCCTTCGCGTCGCCCATGCTAATGGCTGACCTACTTGTGGATGATCTTGGATGGTAGCGGCATGGTGGCTTGGCGTAGCCGGGCGCGCGCCTAGCTGCGTTCCCTCCGTGCGGCAAGCAACAAGGAGATGCTGCGTGAAAGCGCATGTTGCAAGTGTATGTTTTAATTTTTTCAGAGTTATATTGCAAATGTTTCGCATGCATGTTGCAAAAATAGGTTGAGATGTTGCAATGGCTATACACACATGTTGCAAGCATCTATTCCAAATGTTTCATCTATTTATTTTGCAAGCGGTTTATCTGAATGTTGCATATGTTTTGCGCATGTGTTGCAAGTATTTTATCTGGATGTTGCATATGCTTGCAACAGCTTTCAAGTGTTTTCAGCCGTTTTGCAAGTATTTCAGACGTATGTTGCAAGTGTTTCAGTTGTTTCGAATGTATGTTGCAAGTATTTGATCTGGATGTTGTAAAAGTAAATCTGATGTTGCACATGTTGCAATGGGATCCATCTGCGGGCGTTTTGTAAATGTTTCAGATGTATGTTGCAAGTGTTTCAGTTATTTTGAACGTATGTTGCAAGTGTTTCACCTGAATGTTGCAAAAGTAGATCTAGTGTTGCACATGTTGCAATGGAACTCACCTGCCGCTGCCGCCTGCTGCAGCTGCTAGGGTGCCGTGCATGCGGAGCAGGGGTGCAGGCGGTCCCCACGTGAACGTGGGAAACAGAGCTGAAGTGGACGGTTCCCGTGTGCGAGCGGGTGGCATGGGCAGGGCGACGCGTCCATGCGACGAAGGCGCGGGAAACGAAGGAGGCATAGGAAACTGAAAGGCGCGCAACACAAGCAGGCGCGGTCCAGACGTGCGCGTCTGTCCAGACGTCCGGGCGCTAGCATCTCTCCTCTAAGAGTCGTCTATTTGCTGTAAAAAGGTATCAGATTTGAATCTAACATCACAAAAAAGCAGGTATCAAAAGGGTTAGAATCACATGAGTATTTGCATCTGTTTTTTTTTTTTTTTTTAATGTTTCTGACCAAGCTAACGACCGAGTGCCAGAAGAGTAGAGTCACAAGCACCTGATGATGCAGTACGCACTAGACAGACCCAAGTAATCGCAGCTAAAAAGTTTCTTCGCAGTTGAATTGAGAGGATTCAAATTCTATAATTAAAAGGAGATCAGAACGAGGCGAGGTTTGATCACTTCTAATTATTTGTGATGTCTTTTTGATATGACTGAATGTGCCTACTAGCCATCTCTTGGCTGTATACTTCTCAATAAAATAATGTGCCTGAATTTATTCTGATGATGGATAATTCATTGGAGAAGGCCCTTGTCCTGGAAGCTCTTGATGCAGTCGTCGAACATCTGCTGCACGGAGAGGAAGGGAGGGAAGCCGAGCGCCTTGACCTTGCTGGTGTCCATCCTGTGCGGCCTGTCGTCCCCTTTCTGGCTGCTGCACTCCGTGGGGATCGGGTACTGCGGGTACCGCTCCCTCAGCGACTCGAGGATCTCGGACCAGTGCGCCACGTCGCAGGAGCAGATGAGCCGCCCGGACGCCCTGGCGTCCTCCATGGCCAGGACGTGGCACAGCACCACGTCGTCCACGTGCACGAACCCGATCGTCGTGTTTGGGTACTTGCCAAGCTCCCCTGCATGTACCAAGACATGGAGTTCCATGCATGGGTAAGTAGTCAACTTCAGTTCAATAATCGTATGTACGTGATGCAGCATAGACATAGAGACATGGTTTTCTTGTGCTGTCCTGCAGAGATCATAGACGACCTTTGAGCATGGCGAGGACGATGAGTATGGTGCTGGTGGGCCTCGGCCCCAGCTCCGGGCCGATCACGAACGACGGGTTCACCACCACCAGGTCGATGCCGTGCTCCTTGGCCAGCCGCCACGCCTCCTTCTCCGCCACCGTCTTCGCGTACGCGTACCACAGCTGAGCAATTTTTCATGCCGATCGAGTGGCCAAATCAGAACGCTAATACAACACAGGAGCTAGCTAGCAAACGTCCACAATCTGCTAGCTGTGACGTTGGTACGTACGTTGTGCGACTTGCAGTAGTCGGCGTCCGTCCAGTGCGACTCGTTGAGCGTGGCGGCGTGGCAGTAGCGGACGCAGGAGCAGGAGGAGGTGAACACCACGCGCCGCGCGCGCTCGGGCGCCCGGGCGCACGACCGCAGCACGTTCGCCGCGCCCTTCACGATCGGCTCCACCAGCGTCTCCTGGACGTCTTTGCCGTCCTTGCCGCCGCCGCCGCTGCCGACGACCACCACGGGGGAGGCCGTGTGGAAGACGCCGTCCACGCCGCTCACGGCGTCGTCGAAGCTCCCCTCCACCATCAGGTCCGCGCGTACCAGCTGGAGCCGCTCGGCGGCGCCCTCTAGCTCCCACAGGAACCCGACCTTGCCTTCATCCTCTGTGTTGTCCATGCGTGCGTCAGAACTCAAGAACTGATTGGAAACGACCTCTATCTAGAGCTTGATGGGAGGGAGGTGCGTGTACCTGGATCTCTGACCGTGGCACGGACTGAGTGGCCGGCGGCGAGCAGCGCCCGGATGAGGTGCGCCGCGATGAAACCCGTGCCCCCAGTCACGCAGTACTCTGGCATCTCTCTGGCAAGCTAGTTGTTCTCGGCGACTTGTTCTCACACACCTCGGTGGGGGCCTACAACATATAGAAGAGATATATGTCGTCACCTACGAGATTTTCTTGTTTTCCCCTCCGTATAGGAGAAAGACGATCCGTTGGCCCGCTGCATGCCAAGATATATAACTACAGGTTTGGTTCGAATTAGGTTGGTCATGGGAAGAAGACTCATGTTCCCATTGTAAGTCGGTGACATGATATATGCACGTGGGAAACAACCCAAAACGTAAATAACAGTACTTATAATATTAAAATCAATAAGTTTTTCCCCCTGTCTCTCTCTCTCTCTCCTGTTTGTTGGTCCATCACTCTTCTTCTGTCCCTCAGTTTGAGTTTGGAGCTGTATTTTAATTTCATAGCCTGGCCACTCAAGTCTGTTCATTGCCACGGTGTATATGGGTGTGTAGCTCACCTTCCATCCTTTTTATACTCACAATAGCTACACGGAATAACCCCCTATTTAAGATTAGTCAATCTATCGTCAATTGTCCACATGGGATTAACTCTTTATTGCACTCGAATTTATTATGGACCTTTGGAATTTATTTGATTTAATGTTGCGCCAGGCCCAATTAAATTCAACAAAAATATCTAAACCGTAACATTGGCACGAGCACTACAAATTGTACATCCCCTTACAACACACAGACATACATGCTAATCATATTAAAAGGGGAAATTTTACCACCCTAATTTTGGTCCATCATCACTTTCTCCCCTTCCATTCATACCTCACTCCCCACCTCCCTTCTCTCGTACCTCGGTCAAACCTCTCTTCTTGAGTTGTAAAACCTTCATTAGCGCCAGACTACTCATATGGTGACATAGCTGCTTGAGCCCTTGCACATTGCTCTACAAAGCTCAACAAAGGGGGCGGTGGATTGTGGTTCGCCCTACACTTTTTTTTAATCGCGCAACATGTACACATAATAGGCACCTATTTGAGGTGAATTAGTTTTCCTAAACCGGAATGTTCCTTTAATGTTGTGTTGTGGCCGGGTCTTAAAATTTATTTGATTTAATTGAAATTAAGTTAGGCCAATAAGCCCAATTAAATCCAGAAAATGATAACTAGCTCGTTATAATTTGCTCGAACAGATCCAAACGATCACACAAGTTATACGTCCTATTGTAACATACAAGCATGTTTGCTCGTTAATATAAATGTGATGGGGATGGTGGAAAATTTACTTTATAGTCATTATGGACGATGATGAACTGCATACATATGCATGCTTGGCCTGAGGTCATTATATTATTGTCCATTATTCGTCTTGCATACATATGTACATATCACTATGGGAGAAGCAAAATTTGTCGAGTGCCGCATGCTTTGCCGAGTGCCGAAAATAGGGCACTCGGCAAAGCCACTCTTTGCCGAGTGTTGCACTCGGCAAAGAATTGTACTCGGCAAATAGTGGCTTTGCCGAGTGCCGCAGCGTGCCTGGCGCTCGGCAAAGCACGCCACTCGGCAAAGCCACTCTTTGCCGAGCACAACACTCGGTAAAGAGCGCACACGGCAAAATGTCCGTCAGTTGCCCGCCTACCCCGCCCACGCCGTTACCATCTTTAAAAAAAAAATGTTTACCGAGCGCTTAACCTGACACTCGGCAAAGAGGCCCTTTGCCGAGTGCAGCAAAGAGGCCCTTTGCCGAGTGCTGTGGCCTGGCACTCGGCAAAGGGCCCTCTTTGCCGAGTGTCAGACATGGCACTCGGCAAAGTATTTTTGTTTTTTTTGAATTTTGATTTCAATTTTTTTTGTAGACCTTATCTATTGTTTACAAGCACATGTTAAAATTTGGTACCTTTTTATAACTTTTTGCTATATTTCTTGAATTAATTTTGTTTACTTGCATTTTTTTTCGAAAAAGTAAATTTGAACTGCAGGTGCATGAAATAATGAAATGTAGCCATTCAAAAAATGATAGTCATGTTGTAGAGTGTATTTTGAGGCCGTATGTATCAGAGAACTCACCCAAAATTTTGAATGCCTTGTTAGCCAAAATGGCACTTAAATCACAAATTATAGAAAATGCAAACATGTCGATCTTGTGGTGTTTTGGACAAGTTTAAATTATAGATTTAAATGCAAGCGAAGTCGAAATTTGCAAAACTTGTCTGTCAATGTGATTGATGTGAGTTCTGCACTATTCCTCAAAATACACTCTACAACATGACTATGATATTTTGAATGGCTACATTTCATTATTTCATGCATAATTCAGCTTCAAATTTACTTTTTCAAAAAATGCAAGTAAACAAAATTAATTCAAGAAATATAGCAAAAGTTATAAAAAGGTCCCAAATTTTAACATGTGATTGTAAATAATAGATAAGGTCTACAACAAAAATTTGAAATCAAAATTAAAAAAAAACAAAAATACTTTGCCGAGTGCCATGCCCGACACTCTAAGAAGAGGGCTTTTGCCGAGTGCCAGTCATGAAGACTCTCAAGAAAGGATATTTCAAAAAATCCTTTCGGAATAAGGGCCCATGGCCCATCCTCCTCAACCCTATCCTCATTCACGCTCCCTTCACCCGCCAAGCCCACACCGCCACTCTCCTGCACCAAGACCGCCTGCCATGCCCCACGCCCGCCGCCCCCGCCCCCACGCCCCCACGCCCCACCCACCCCGCCTCGTGGCTGGCCCCACCCAAGGCCGCCGCCCCACCCCTCGGTGGCCGGCCCAGCCCCCGGCCCGGCCGTCCCTACAGAGAGGAGGAGGAGCCCGGCCGTGGTGCCCTGTCCTCGGCCCGGCCGTCCCTGCAGAGAGGAGGAGGAGGGGAGAAAGAGAAGGGGAGGAGGAGAAGGGAGGTGGGAGGAGAAGGAGAAGGGAGAAGGAAGAAGGAGAAGGGAGGAGAAGGAGAAGGGAGGAGGAAGAAGGAGAAGGGAGGAGGAGGAAGAAGAAAAAGGAGAAGGGAGGAAGGAGGAGGAAGAAGAAGGAGAAGGGGGAGGAGGAGACGGACCTCGGTTCGACGACCGTTCACGCCGTTCGTCGACGATGTTCGTCCACTCCGTCGTTCCCGCACATCGCCGTTCGTCCACGCCGTCGTCCCTGTCCCTCGCCGGAGAAAAGGTAAAGGCTCCGGGGGTGTCGGCCTTGGTGCCGTTTATGTGTTGACGGCCTTCATGCCGGGTTTGTGTATGTGTGGGCCATCATGCCCCAAATGTGGACGTCGGCCATCATGCCGGCCTTTTCTTACAGGTTTTGGAAACCTCCCCGTACAGGGGAGGTTCTGCCGAATTTTTCAAGCAATAGTGATGTGTTTCTTTTTTTGCAGAGCAGGAGCTGTCGGAGGGGACCCGGAGCACCTCGTCGATCCCGATCGTCTTCGTCGGCGCTGCGGTCGTGCCTGCACTGCTTCGTCTCGCCACTGCACCGACTCGCCACTGCGCCGCTAGCCTTTTTCCACCGCCACCCTAGGTATAATTGACCTTTCTTGCTTACAGTTGTCGTACGTAACCCAGTTAGGCGTCTCCCATCCGAAACAGATATGGTTGGAGGTATGTGGATCTTTGCATATCTATGACCGTATCTATTTTGGATTGTCCACGTTTTTTGGACAGCCCGCGGATGCGTAGATGGGTTAGTTTCCATGTTCTGCTCGGATTCGAGATGGAGTTTCAGCACCACCTCCCTTTTGTTCTCCGGATACACACTCTCCCTTCCAGGATGTGTATCGGGAGAACAGCGGGGAGGTGCTGCCGAAATTCTGTCTCGAATCAGAGTAGAGCATGGAAATTAATCTCATCTACGCATCCGCGGGTGGGATTAGGATCTATCCTCACCTATTAGACAGCAGGCACGCCGTGCAAATGTAACTGATGGTTATATTACTCCGTTATGTGTATATGATATTGCTCCGTTATGTGTATATGCTAGAGGATGGAGAACCGTGAGTGGATGTACATGGGACGCCTAAGTCAGGCTCAAATCACCCGTGAATGGATGGATAAGACCGAGAAATTCTTGGACCATGCATTTAAGGAAGCTAAGGGAGCGAGAGACACGTTCTGTCCCTGCAGCGATTGTGAAGACAAGAAAAGAAAAATAAGGGAAGTCATGATGAAGCATCTTTGCAAGTTTGGATTTATGCCAAACTAAACCCGGTGGGTGTACCATGGTGAAGCCTATCGTCCTAGAGAGGAGGTCGTGAGACGACGCTTGGAGGCATTTGATGGTGATGGCGGGGTAGAAGGATGGTTAGGTGACTATGAGGATGCGATGTTCACTGAAAGACCTCCGGAGGTCGAGCAGGAGGATGAGGAGGAGGAGCCAGAGCCAAGCGCTAAGGCGTTCTTGGCCATGTTGGAATTGGCACAGAAGTTCTTACATGAGAAGACAACGGTTTCTCAACTGGATGCCATTGGGCGCCTCTTGGGTTGAAGTCCCAGCACAACATGACTCGAGCCTGCTTCGATGCTATGATGGCAAGAAGCATGGGCGTTTCTGGATTGGCGACGACATCCTCGACACGGGCTCTACTCCTCCTCTCCACCGCCTCCGAGCAGCGAGCACGAGCTCTAGCGTGCCCATAAGGCAACGTCCGTCATCGGTGGCGGCACTCTAGGTAAGTATTCTAGTTTCATTCGTCGTTCTTTGTCATTTACATTCCTTAGCTATGCATTATTGAAACATTGGTGTCAAATGTTGCAAGCCGAGCTACAGCAACTTCGGTCCTAGCAGGAGGCCCAGCTGGCTGAGCAGGAGGCCGAGCGTCAGAGGCTACAAGCTTTGGAGGCCCAGCAAGCAGGTTTGCTCCAGTTCGTGCAACAACTTGGGCTGCAACAAGGTTGGGAGATCCCAGCCAACCTGCTTGCACCACCACCACCACCACCACATCGTCCAGATTCTACTCCGGTGAGTATGATTACGGATGCTTTACTTTCTATGCTCATGCTTAGTGTCAAACCTAGTGATGGCCTTCGTGCCGGATTTGTTGATGTGTGGGCCTTCGTGCCGGGTTTGTTGATGTGTCGGCCTTCGTGCCGGAAATGTGGTTGTCGGCCTTCGTGCCGATGTTTTTCTTGCAGGTTTTGGAAACCTCCCTGTGTAGGGGAGGTGCTGCCGAAATTTTTAACTTTTCTTTAACCTGCTTATATTTTTATCTTGTCACTCACGTGCAATCTCTTCTCTTTTATGCAGCATCAATCGGGGGTGGCATCGAACCATCTCGGAGGGTCGCCGACATCGCAAGTTGGGGCGCGCAACCCTCACATTCGCCGTGAGCCGCTTCCGAAGTCGGTTTTATGTAGGCATGCCTTTATGTATTGAACTTGTGAACTTGTGGTTTGTAATATACTGTGGATTTCGGACATAATTGGTCGTTTGTGATATATATACGTGGTTTCTGATATATTGTGTTGAATTGTGGTTTCTAATATATATATATGCACTGTTGTTTACATGGAAAAACAAAAAACAAAAACAAAAAATTTGTTGTGGCTTTGCCGAGTGCAATGACCATTGCACTCGGCAAAGCTTGGAAAATAGCAGCAACAATTTCCCAGATTTGCCGAGTGCAATGGCCATTGCACTCGGCAAAGAAAATTTAAAAATAAAAATAAAAAATGCTTTGCCGAGTGCCTTGGCAATGACACTCAGCAAAGAAAATTAAAAAAAATAAAACAGGCACTGGTAGAGAATAGAGCTTTACTCGGTGGGGAACCCCCCTAGTCCCGGTTCCCCACCCGGGAGTAAGCATCCGGGACTAAAGGGGGTCCTTTAGTCCCGGGTCAATAACCGGGACTAAAGGGGGACATTTAGTCCCGGTGGGTAACACCAACCGGGACTAAAAGTCCTCCCAGCTTTAAAAAAATAATGTCTCCCACCGCTGCGTCCCGTGAGATTCGAACCCAAGACCCCATGCATTGCCTCGCGCGTAGCTTACCACCCCACCTACACAACATCTAACAATGGATGTGATGCTTTCCTTTTGAACTAACCCATCGGGGGACCTTTAGTCCCGGTTGGTAACACCAACCGGGACTAAAGGGTCCTTTAGTCCGGGTTGGTGTTACCAACCGGGACTAAAGGGTCTACTTTTAATCCCGGTTGGTGTTACCAACCGGGACTAAAGGTTGAGGACTTTTAGTCCCGGTTGGTGTCTCCAACCGGGAGTAAAGGTCCACCTTTAGTCCCGGTTGGTGTCTCCAACCGGGACTAAAGGTCTTCTGCCACTGTGCCGAGCGCAGTAGCCGTTGGGCAGGAACCTTTAGTCCCGGTTGGAGACACCAACCGGGACTAAAGGTCTCTCTAGTCCCGGGTGCAAAAAATGCCGGGACTAGAGCCCATTTTAGCATCGGATAAAAGGTCTGTTCTCTACTAGTGAGGCTTTGCCGAGTGCCTCGGTGCTATGGCACTCGGCAAAGAATTTTGAAAAAAAAAGAAAATTCTTTGTCGAGTGTTGCACTCGGCAAAGAAATTAAAAAAAGAATTAAGACGGCGTGAGCCTTCGGCCAACAGCCGTCAATCCTTTGTCGAGTACCAGCTTGACACTCGGCAAAGCCTTGCCGAGTGCCCGAGATTTGGTACTCGGCAAAGCAGGCTTTACCGTGAAAAGGTTCGACGGAGCCTCTTAGCCGAGTGTTGTACTCGGCAAATGATTTGCTGAGTGCATGGGTGCCTTTGCCGAGTGCATGGGGGCACTCGGCAAAGCGTGTGGCTGCTGTAGTGTATGGTGCAATGTGCACATTGTACGCCCAATATTCTCTATTGTCGGTTTTATGACAACAAGAATGGACCAAAATACTGTGTTATTAGGGCCTGTTTGGTCAGATCAAATCCCTGCCTGGTCATAGGAAGTCTTATTGTTGGATTTTTTTTTTCAATCTTATATATATAGACACACCATGCTACTCCGATTACCTAGTAGTAAGAGGTAAGAGTTCAAATCCAAGCCCTTGAATATTAGTAGAGATAAAATAATTAAAAAGAAAAAACAAACAACCAGCTACGCTTCCTTGCATCTGCATGTGTAAATACAATTTGTTTCCGTTTGGTTGCAACCAACTGATGCACACTTCAGGGAAGGACATCTGGCGACGAGACATGCATTAGTCCGAAAATCAACTTTCCAGGACATGCTATTTTTTGTTTCTTAATTGTCCATGTCCATGGTCATGAGTCTGAAGAAGATAAAGATTGAGCCGAGAGAGGAGGAGGAAGATGATAGTGTTAGAAAGAAATAGACTTATTAAATCCAGTGTGTCTGAATTTCGGGTTCGTGAGGGGCTTTTTTACCACCGGTTTTGAACATCATCCGACGATTCGATTACTAACCGGCGGCGGTGAAAATGGTGTTGCGAAAACTAATTCTGTAGTAGTGACATAACTTCATCTATACCAACGCGGCACTATATATGATGTCTATATGTTTTCCCGTTCATCCCCCATTACACTCATCACAAGCACTAGTAGCTATCAACTAGATTCACCCACACACTGCTTTGCGTGGGTGGCCACCTGTTCATGAATCTGCTCATTTTCTCCAAATCACAAGCAGGGAGTAGTAGCGAGGGTAAGCGTTCAACGACCGAGGAAGCTGGTCCTGCCGAGCTCAGCAGGCGCTGCCTGCGTCGGAGACACTACAGTTGTCAGCAACTTCCTCTTCAACCTTGGCGTTGGAGGAAGGAGGACGGTCGGGATGCTTGCTGGCATCAGGGCGTCCCACTTTGCATGCGTTCCGCAGACGCCGCCGCCACTGCTGATCATCAGGTAGTAAGCAGGGAAATGTAGTAGTTGTACGATGCTTTTCGGGATCTATGCCTGTGCACTTCAGCTTGCTCCTCATCTGCCGGTTCCAGTAGTTTTCCACTTCTTCGGCTGTCCTTCCTGGTAACCTACCAGCGATGAGTGACCAACTGCATATGTATATATTCGGGTACTCCGATCTATTAGCAAGTGCAGTCAATAACATGCCGAGAACACGAAGAACTATCTACTCCTACCCGCTAATTTTGAGGCCAAAGGCACATAATATATGTGAGGTGATGACAATGGACGGGATTGAAGCAGAGCAAGTACGTAGTTAAGTAAGATTCACCCACCGGTTTCCAAGCAAAGTGTGCAGCTTAATTAGGAGATCTTCCTCTTCCTCGCAGAAGCAGTTGCTCTTGCTCCGAACAAGAGGCCCTAAGACGTACCGGAGAGAACAGAGAATGCATGGATATTATACCTATCTGAGTGTCTGGTTTGTACCACATTACGCAACATTATGAGTAGTTCATGTAAGTACCTGCAGTCCTAGCAGTAGGCCGCTGTGACGACGGACCAGCAGTGCTACCCAACTGCCCAGACAGCCCCCGGAGCCGCCGCTGTTTCATCCGGTTCATCGGCATGACGGGCTGACAGCGATTATTCCAGTTGTTACGGTAAGCACTAAGAAGATTTATATATAGGAAGGCAAGCAAACACAGGGCTTCCCTTTTGACTGGAAGGAAGAAGACCGACTGTTGTGGTTGCTCGTCGATTGGCAACCCCAAATCCAATTGAGCGGTCGTTCACGCAGCGAACGACGCGTCCGCCCGCACGGGTTCCTTTTCCGTGCCATTCCTTTCCTTTACTAGTTCTTTGCTGTTCCTTTCCTTTATTGGTTCTTTGTCGTTCTCAAATATATTTCCTCCTTTACGTGGCATGTACATATATTCCGTGCATGCAGGTATCTTTTAGGCATGCTAGTTGGATTCGTCCGTGCCATTGGCTGCACCTATACAAACGTTTCTTTTTTTCTTCCTTTTTTCTTTCTTTTATTTTTCTCTTTTTTTGTTACATATTTATAAGTTATACTACATAGTTATTTTTGGTATATAGTTTCATTTTCTGCTAATATGCTATGATATTAATTTGTACATCTAAGTTCTGAAATATAACTTATACGTCCAACTTTACATGTAAGGCATTCATTAAGTTTAAGTTATACAAACAAGTTATACACATAATTTATCTTGTTTTGAAAGTTACTAAGCTATACATATAACTTTTGTGCATAATATATTACCATAACTTATATATCATAACTTTTACAATATAATATTTTGCAGAGCAGAGCTTATTAACACAAGTTTTTATCATAACTTTTTGTTGGGCATCGTTGGTAAGTTGTATAGAATAACTTACGTGTAGAATAACTTATTAACATAAGTTCATAACTTTTGTATTTACACGTTTTGGCATAATTTACATGTTATAAGTTAGACGTTATAAGTTATATGTTATAAGTTACCATAAGTAGAATAAAATTCTTCGAAACATATGCAAGTGAGATCTAATTTTGCTCGTCTCGTCACGTAGAACACACCAGTGCAGTCGGAATTAAAAATGGATACACCGTTTAAATTTTTTATAAATTTAAAACAAATGTTTTGCTTTTTTTTTTCTAGGATGACGTCACACCCAGGCATGCAGCGGAGTGGGCGCATGCGGGCCAATAAGGGAAAAAGTTGAAAATATTTTTTTTCTATAAAAGGAAACTACAGCTTGTCTGAATATTGCTCGTTAGTTTTAAATACGATGAACGATCGCTAATTAGTGGAGCCGACCGGCAACTGATCAGTAAGGCCAGGCACAGCGCAGGCCTCAAAGACGACCGCGCGGCGGCTGTCTACGTTTTCTCAGCTAATTTGTTAGTTGCATGCGCGCGCGGGTACGATACACGTGCGCGCGTGTGGGTATAACTGTATAGGCTAGCGCTCTCCGTCAAAGAGTTGCTATATATATCGCTAGACCAGCATGCCGCCTAGGCGCCTAGCTTTCAGTCAGAAAGGCCGGCAAAAAAAAAAAAATCAACATTTATATAAAAGCTTTCAGTCAGAACGTACCCGTTTAGTGTACGTCCACAAATATAAAAGTTTTTTTTCAACATTTGTTGTGTTTTCTTAGATGTTGAAGACAGTAAAAATTCATTCACAAGCAAATATAAAATTTCTAGAACTTCCATTTTTTTTTCTTTTTTTCGCATGGGCCTCTTCCTGGTGGGCCTGAAATCCAGCCAGGGCTGAATCCGGGCGCCTGGGCCGAGTGGGCCGAAGCTGGCCCATGACAGGCCCTTTTTCTTTTAGTTTCGTTTTTCCTTTTTCTAGCAAAACAGTGATCTTCTATAATCCATAGAAAATCACAAAAATGTCATGAAAGAAGATAGAGTCAGGATTTTATTTTAGATCAAATATAAAATATGTGTGAAATGGTCTTGTTTTGAATTCGAGCGGGGCTTGGATTCAACTCATCTTTTAATTTTTTAATTTATTCGAGAAAATTTTGTATCAGAAAATTTCCTTTACCATGGCTAGGAGCCGCGGCTGCCATCGTTGTTGGCGCAAGAGCGGGCATGGGCGCCTGGGCACAGTTTGCATGGGCACTAGGCACAGTTGCGTGGAGGGAGGAGTGGGCGCGAGCGGCCATGGGGCGTGAGCGGGAGGCGGACAGCCATGAGCTGCGATGGAGGCACGAATGTGGACGGGTGTCGAGGGAGGGGCGCTCGGGGCCGAGGCCCTCACTACTAGGAATATCCGCTTCTATGACGATCAACTTTCGTCACTAAATGAGCCAAATTCGTCATAATTTCATTTTTATGACGAAAAACGGTTCGTCATAAAAGTTGCGTCATTCTTGCAGTTATATGACGATTCTAGAAAATCATCATAGAATTGGATAGATCTATGACGAAAACTGATCGTCATAGAACTGCTTTGGCATGCGTGGCAAGGGGCAGCCACGCTGGCGGGTGCTTCCATTGGAGATATTTTCCACGTATACATGCTATAGCCGGTTTCATTGGAGATGGTTCGGGTACGTGTCACCTTCTTATTGCACAACGTGGCCATCTCTGGTTCTTGCACGTTTTAGGTTCTTACTGGACCACGTATTGGGACCCTGTTGTTTCACATGGCAGTTTTCTATTGGCACACGGGTCGTGTTGCGGTTGGGTCACGTGTCACTTCTTCGTTGGACCAAGTGTCGTATTTTTATTAGTTCACATGGCATGACCAAAATACCCCGCGTGTCTTTCTATTAGTCGACCACGTGTCTCGATGCTGTACGTCCTCGTGTCAGTATTTTATTGGGCCACGTGTCGCGCGCTAAGCTACCCACGTTTTTTTTCTGATTCAACCACGTGGTAGGATGAATTTATACCACGTATTTTGTTTGTATTAGCCCACGTGCCGTATCGTGGTTGTTACACGTGTCATTCACTGGTTCGTCCACGTGTCAGATTCTTATTTAACGTGCCTGTGTCGAATCTACCACATGCAGACCAATCATTACATCAGAGAAAATGATTTCAGATCTACACTGCTGCATAAAATGACTACATGCATAATTATATTGAATCTGAATCAAATAATAGCAGTTCAGCTCAGCAGCAAACCACTGACAGAGTTCACATATCAAGCTGCCAAAATTTCATATCAAAACAGCAAATAAACCACATGTTCACTGCATCAACAAGACTGAGAGTACCAACGCTTAAGAGCATGATATGCTCATGGAGCTTATTGTACTCCTCCTGTTGCTGTTTCTTGAACTTATCAAACTTCCAATCAGTGTTTTCTGCCTTTCTTTTCAGTTGATCCACTTGTTCGGCGAGGACAGCTGAACTTTTCTTATGAGCAGCAAGCCGTTCCCGAAGTCTGGACCAGCTTGTCCTGATACCTGCATTCTTCAAAGAAAAGGTGTTGCAGCTGGCCTGGGAGAGGACTTTGAAAACAACATCAGCAATAGGTTCTGCTCGTATAGTTTCCATAGCTTCTTGCAAAAACCAAGGAGTAAACATTAGGAAGAGGATTTAAATTGCAGAACCAAGAGATTATTTTAGTACAAGTAATTCATAGGTCTTCCATGGCCTACTACCGATAGAGATTCTTAAGCACAATACATAGGTAACATATTAATTGTTGTAATATTACAACTTAAAAATGATGGTGCCACTTTAGGCTCCTACTTTTCCTTCTTTTATGCCAATGGCTTCAACAGATTTCAAGGAAAGCAAATGAAGGTACTTACCACTCCTTCTCTTGCAGCATCGCTCAGTCCCGTGTTGCTACTAGTATGGAAGTTGTTGAAGATTCCCACTGCATCAACATCTTCATGAGGTCGATCATGTTCTTTAACGAGCACTTCTTGTGTCCCGCGTCCTTCGTATTTTTGTTCTTCTATTAAAATTGCACATGATTTTCTGTTGACACAAAAGGCATTGCGTATTTGATATAAAAAGAGTAACACAACCATCACTTACATATGCTTGCAGGTGGGCAATATAGGAGCGAGATCCTGTAACCTGGTGGCACTTGACTTTTGCACGGTTTTGCTTGTTCTGCTCCGAGACTGCCTATAACCACAATTGTGTTAGACCGCAGCACAAGTAGACCACATAAAGACTACACAAAAAATAAATGAGTTCACACACACACACACACCTTGTTCTCAGAATTTAACCACATGTGCACAAGTGCACACCATTGTGTGTCATTCATGCAAGACACAGTAGTGGTATTTCTGATTTCATCAGCGGGGATGCCGTTGAAGTAAGATCACTTGAACCTGTACCATGTCTGGCGTACAACAGACTATAATACACTCGTGCATGCTTCTTTTATTGCTTCATCATTGTCATGAATGGCCAGCCTCAACTGCAGAAGTGTGAATGCAAATTAAATCTATTACTAAGTTGCTCAAGGCAGAGTTGAATGTCAATAGAGGATATACATACTTACAGATAGCTTGGCCACAAATCCATTGAGAAGTTCGATCCGTTGCTTGCAATGTATCCAGTGCAGGAAAATTGGTACTTGAGACCTAACTACTACACCTGCCTCTGAGGCAAACTTGGCAGCTTGCAATGGATCATGTGGCCTTCTATTCCCCTTGACAACCGAGATGGGCATCCTTATTCCCATTGATTGGGTGGTTTTGTGAAGCCCAACCACCTTAGTTGCTTGCCTTGACTTTCTCGCTCTTCTCTACAATGGTACTACACAGTTTTCATACATTCAGATTGTTAGAAATGTAACATGGATATCAAATAGTGTGGCTTGATTTATAGACATGTCTAAGGTAGTACCAATCTTCGTAAGCTTGGTCATTCTGCTGGTGGGGAGGTGGTGTCTCCTCTTTGACATGGCTAAGGTCATCTTCATGTGACCAGTCCCTCACAGGGCTTTGTTCGCCTTGTGCGTGCTAATTTTTGGACCTAGTTGGAACTACAAGATGCTGTAACTCTGCTAGACTAGTTGGCTTCACTCTCTTGGATTGCCATCCCCCAGGACCCATATCGGTGCTGCCTTTTGCCCTACTGGTAGGGACTTCTCTACTGCTTGTTCAACCCACAGCCTGAAATTGGAGA